AACAGCCAATGAAACCGTCACACGCTGCCCGAATGTTGATCTGCGGTACTTTGGCCCATTCCCGGCGAAGCGCTTGCTTGAGGTAATCGACACTTTGGTATTTTTTAGTGCCAACCATGCTTTCCAAAATACTCCCGACACAATAGTCCAACGGATTGGTATCCGGAGATTTTTGTGGTCATTGTGCGCTGGAAATGAAGGGAGGAACCTCATTTTGTAACCATTCTTGGGTGGCGCATGTTGAGTGCGATGGTGCTGAGTGCTTTTGAGACTATTTTCTTTCAGTTGCGGTGTAAGTTCTTGCACTTTTTGGAATTTCAATGACTTTACCCCGATCTCATTTTTCAATATTTGCCGAATGGAATATTGCGATATGTTCAGCTCACGAGCCACGGGTTTCGATCAAGTCGAACCATTTCTGCTGATGTTGCTGTTTTCTTCCGTCCACTTTCTTGAAATATGTCGGGCTGCGCGATGTATCACAGTAACGATTGATGGTACGAGACACAAAAGATTTATTCACATTTAAATGCTGGAGTGCTCTAAGGATAGCCACTTGTGGTTTTTCAGCCGAATATAAAGAAATCACACTATCACGCTTGAATTCCATCACGAATAACTTTTTTTCTGGAAAATTATCACCAAAATAATTTTGTGCGCTGTGAAAATAATATAATGAGCTGTCACTGAAATAATTTCAACAGCTGTCGGATGAGTGGCTTAGAAATGACAGCAGTCTGAAGTTGGTTGCAATTTTTTCATCTCACCCTGTACACATGGATAAAAAAGTGACCGCACATATGTAAAGCCCTTAAGGTGAGAATACATAAAATGCTTTTCTGACTGACTTCAGTCATCGGCTGGCTTCTTCGTAGAGGGACAAAGCAGTTTTGGGTTGATTTAGTTCGATTTTGTCCCGTTTATAATTCTTAAACGGCCTTCTACAGATTTACGACCAACTGAATGCCCTCCATTCTAAAAATAATTACACATTTATGTATTTCCAAACATTAATCCTTTCGAACGAAAAATGCCATTCAATGAAATTCGATTCCGACCCACTGCAAGAACCAGAAGCATTTGTTAATTGCATTCACACTTCATTGTTTTTAGTATTACAAAACACTTAGCTGTGACATCATTGACCTTGAACACTTTTCCTTCATAGAAGGAGATAAATTCTATTTTTTGTAGATTTCTAAACGGCAGCTGAGGAACCGGAAAACTCAATACCTAAAATGTTGGCTGTAGTGTGCAAGAAGTTAAATGGAAACGCACAACGTGTTACATTGATTAACACTCAGTTCTAAATAAAGGAGGATGACTCTTCTTGCACAAGTCGTAGTCAACGCATGGAGCATTGCAATAACAAAAAACCCGACAACAACAACAACAACGATGTGACGACTTTGAAGAAAACACCTTTGATTATCATCTTCGCCGTCGTCGTTGTCGTCACTCTCAATTTTCAAGATGAATGAAAACAAGAACGGAGGACGGAATCATCGTCACCAGCAATGATAATTTGTTGTTGTTGCTGTTGTTTTTTAAAAAATCTTGTTTACATTCTCCATGTACACGCCGCTCACACCCATACAGAGACAAGTGTTTTGGCGCGTTGACTCAGTTCTCCAACACAGTTACAATTTCATTTGGGTTCTCCCATTTACCCTTCCTGTGTAAGGCTGCAGAGCAAGTGCAGCCACTTCATTGGAAATCTGAAGATCTGTACAAATAAACGAAATAACAACAAAAACAAATAAATATGATTAACAAAAATTTGTTAATGAACGGAAAGAATGTACAATTCGGCCGTTTTATCTGGTATGTACCGAAAAAAAAACTCTTGAACCGCATTGACGAAATTCATTTTCATAAAAAAAGAGCAATGACACATTTTCTGTGTCGGACGATGCTTTTATCTCCGCCACTCGACACGCCGTTGACATCAGTACCAGTGCCGCCACTTGCTTATCAATTATGATTTTTTTACTTTCTTATCAATTGAAAAAAAAATAAATTTTCAAAAAAAGTGTTCAAACCAACAGTGAGGAAACATAGTTTCTAAAGAGATTCTCTTTTATAGAACTTTAATCTCTGAGTTCTCTTTTAATTGCGACAGAAATGAGTGCTCTACATTGCATAAGTTTTTGGAATAGTTACAGTCAAACTGGGCAAAAATGAACGTAAGTTTAGGAGATGTAATAATTCGATTTGAATTTGTAGATTTGGATGGGAAATTAAAAAGATGAATCTTTAACAACCTTGGACCTGCTATAGACGTACATAAAAGGCTTTTTTTGACTTGCTTAAGTCATCGACTGACTTCTTCGTAGGGGAGCAAAGGAGTTTTAGGTTGACTTAGTTCGATTTTGGCCCAAGGTTCCTTTGTTCTTTTCCGATGAAGCCAGCCGATGACTTGGGCTAGTCAGAAAAGCGTTTTATGTATTCTCACCTTTAAATGTGTATACAACCTCACATTTGCCATACGCCTTTAGTTGAGAAGAATGAAATTAAAAATCTAATTTGGTATCATATGTCTACATGAGAATACCTTTCTAATTATACTATGATTGAAAGTAATGGTGAGAATACATAGATCAAGCAAGTAGGCTTCTTCGTGAAATAACAAAGGAACGTAGGGTGAGCAAGTAAAAATTATGGTCCGAAATTGAACTAAGTTAATCTAAAACTTCTTTTTTTTACATAAAAAGATCTTTAAGGTGAGAATAAAAATGAGATGAATGAGTTTTTTTATATCATAAACACTTGACCGAATCAATCCCATGATCAAAAATATTTTAACCTGCAAGAATTTACTATTTTTGTTCGATGCCATAAAGGGAAAAACGGTTATTGTAGTAATACGTTTTACATTCTTGTAGATCTAGAACTGATCAAAAATAAGTTGAATTGCTAAACATTTCCTAATACCAATCCGAAACATAATTTTGAAATATATTTTTAATGTCCCACACAAAGTTTTTTGTCTCATCTGAGAAACACTTCTTGTCCACGAGACGGTATAAAAAGAATGAAGAAGGAATTATGGAATCGTACTTTATAAATGAGGAGTATTAAGAGTTGGCGCCCAACGTGGGGTTTAATGTTCTAATCAAGCCAAAGGCTGGGAATGGAATGTGAAATTGTAGAGGTTTTCGAATTATAGACAGCGGATATATGAGAAAGAGATGCGTATACAAATAAGTTTGTTAATATAGCTATTTAGATTCACTCGGCAAGCAAAATAATGAGTTTTTCAACAAGAGCGGTTATTTGACGTCACACGGTGATTGACTTAAATGAACCGACACAAGCTTCAATTACGCATTAATTGGTAAAATGGCGGATTTTTTATACCCTCAGCCATATGGCCAGAGAGGGCATATATCATTTGATACCTCCAAAACGTGCCTCATTAAAGTAACGGTTTTAGACCCTAGGTTTCTTTCGATCAAATCCGTTCCAGGACATTTGGAGTCGATATAGCGATGTCCGTCCGTGTGTCTGCCTAACTGGTGCTCACGGGAGTATCCGATTTGTTCCAAACTAGGTACATCGTAATATTATTATCAAACTTAGATCGACTTCGGAGATGGGTAATATCAGTCCACTCCTTCTGATACCTCACCCACAAAAGTTCGAAATTTTCAAAAAAAAAAAAAAAATTGCTACACAGCAAGAGAAAGGATAATCCAAGCTTGCTCCAACTTTGCGAATCCTAATATTTGCATCAGTGCTAGATAAGGTGAGAAAATAGACAATATCGGTCCACTTCATCAAGTACATCCCCACAAAGGGTAAACGTTTTAAATAATTATAACTTTTATAAAATGTGAAGTGGGAGTCCGATCAAATTACACACATCACAATATGTTTATTTGCCGAAACCTGGTACCTGTCTCACAAACGGTCTAAATATTGGATAGCCATGGAACTCATAAAACGTGAAATTAACATACGATTCCATTCTAACTTGGCACAACTCAATATTTCCATCACCACATGATCTGTTATAGAGCAGAGATCGGACAATTCCTTCTGGTACCTCACAAAGGGTCAAAGTTATGAATAACCAAAACGATCATAATATCCGAAATAAGCATTCGACTCTCTCCGTGTTTTACACATCCCATTATTTCTACTAACACAAGCTCTGCTGTGAAAATGGTTATTAAATGATGTTCCTCGATTAATTTCCAGCGCACAATGGCCCCCAAAATCTTTGGATACCAATTCGTTGGACTATTGTGTCTGGAGTATTTTGGAAAGCAAGGTTGGCACTAAAAAATACCAAAGTGTCAATTACCTCAAGCAAGCGCTTCGCCGGGAATGGGCGCAGAGCAATATTCGGGCAGCCTGTGACGGTTTCATTGGCCGTTTGAAGGCCATAATTCGTGCCAAAGGTGACCAATTCGAACAAATCTAAACTTATTCTAAAATTTGATGTTTTTTCGACATTTGTTGCTTGTAAAAAAATAAAAATTATGACGTTTGACTTTGTTGCATTTTTTAATCTCACCCTGTATATATTTCATCAAAAAATAAAAACTCTTATTAAAAAATTTTTTAGTTTTATTGATTAGCACCTACCAAAATGATTCAACATTTTAGCAACCCATCTACCTTAATAACTATACCATGCCGGTTGTTTTGATTCTCTTTTTGTTGCCCAAATTATCACAACGTTACAACCTCAATAAACACACATACGAGCCGGCGCACACAACCACACACAATCCGAAACACCTACCTGTGGAATAGAAAAACAATCTTTCTCTTTACGATCACATTTGGAGAGTTTTTTCTTTTACCTAGAAGTTCTCTTTTTATGTTTGGATTTTCCATTTGCTGTGTGTTTGCATTTGTTGTGTCGTTGTTGTTGATTTGATTGCAGGGAGAGCGCACTCACTGTTTCTGCATCTGTGTTTGTGTGACCGCTAATACACGAATGTTCTGTTTTTCCCCCTTACACACGAAGAGCAAGCAATACACGGAGACGAATTTCAATTTCGTACAGCAGTCGGTATAGAACGGACGAACGGTTGATTTTAACGAGAAAAAAGAATTTCTTCATAAAACGAAACAAAAAGCGGCGCGCTTTTCTTGCGGGCGTTACATTTGATTGTTTTTTGAATTATTAAATTTCAAATTATTTGCAATAGAAATAAATGGGAAAATATTGTTGTAAATATAAATAAACTATAGAAAATATTAAAAACAAAGCTGTTTTCATTTTATCAAATAAAAATGTGTAAAGAAATGCAGCAAAATTAATAAAACAAAAATTAATGAAAAAATGTGTTTTCAAATTATGAATGAAGTCGAAGTGTGTTTTTAGTGAATAAAATGTGTGTATTATTTGAAAAAAAAAAGTCGTGTTATTGAAATGAATGGAAAAATGAGCACATGAGCTTTAAAGAAATAAGAAAAATATATTTTGGAACCTTATCTACCTTCATAAAATTTCTCCCGGTCCCCCACAAGCATGACCTTATCTCTGGGATTAATATTTACTATTTAAATTTGGATTAAACACAAACAACCGTGGAAAATATTCCAGACAACACATGAAAAGGTAAGTGAATATATGGACATGGGAATTGGAGGATTATAGAAAAATCTGTGGCCCAAATTGCTATACAAAAAATATTATATTTTATTGAATGTGTAAACACTAAAATAAGGAACCGCCGAAGCCTGAAAATGGAAAATTTTCGGGGATTTTTTCATTCTCATCGGAAATTCAAAATTCGCATCACAAATCCTAAGAAATTGTTTTAGATAAACTTATGTTCAAAATATGTTCGGTTAAAAAACTTTCCCTTACCCAGACAAAAATTATAAATAAATGTATGATTGGTTCGGAGACATTCAAAAATAGTACTCATTATTCATATTTGTGATATCGCATGGAAACATGATTCATTAACTTCAAACAGGGGAATATTCAACCGAATTGGGTTAATAAAGTCAGATATAGTGGCCTGTTTCCGGACAGTCTACAATGCATGATTTCTATGAGTCAGTGTATTTGTAGAAGGGAAAAATAGGAAACAATCGCATAATTATTGGTAATGATATTCGAATTGGAATCACTTTCTGAACCTGTGATATGTTCTACAGGGTGAGATAAAAAACTGCAACAAAGTCAAATACCATCATTTTTACATTTTTTGAAAGCAAAAAATTTTGGAAATAGCATCAAATTTTGGAATAAGTTTAGATTTGTTCGAATTGATCACCTTTGGCACAAATTATGGCCTTCAAACGGCCAATGAAACCGTCACACGCTGCCCGAATGTTGCTCTGCGGTATTTTGGCCCATTCCCGGCGAAGCGCTTGCTTGAGGTGATCGACACTTTGGTAGTTTATTTTTTGCCAACCTTGCTTGGCCAACGGATTGGTATCCGGAAATTTTGGTGCTAATTGTGCGCTGGAAATGAAGCGAGGAGCCTCATTTTGTAACCATTCTTGGGTGGCGAGTGCTGAGTCCTGTTGGAATGTCCAAGGTCTGCGGCCAAAATGTTTGCGTGCCCAAGGCTTTAATACACCCTCCAAAATTATGTTTATGGAAATATTGCAATGTTCCAAGTCTGAATGGAATCAGAAGTAAATTTCGAGTTTTGTGAGCTTCCTGGATACTCAAAATGTTGACCCTTTCTGGGGGGGTGGGGGTGGTGGGTGCTAGAAGGAGTGGACCAATATATAACATCTTTACATCTTTAATAAAAATATTGAGACGAGTGTTATTTGAAGACAATCGGACACTTACATCACAATTTATAAGTGTTATAATTATTCAAAATTTTGACCCTTCTGGGGGAAGCACTTGATGGAGTCGACCGATATTGTCCATTTTCGCACCCGACCCATCGCCGATGCAAATATTAGGACTCGCAAAGTTGGTGCAAAATCGGAAAAACCGTTCTCTTTCTGTGAAGTAAATTATTTTCTTTGGAAATGTTGACATTTTGTGTGGGAGGTACCAAAAAGAGTGAGCCAATATTGCCCATATCCGAACTCAATCTAAGTTTGATAATAATTTTACGATGTACCAAATCGGATACTCCCTTTGAGAGTTATCGTGAGCACTAGCCAGCCAGACAGACGGACGGACATCGCTAGATCGACTCCAAATGTCCTGAAACGGATTTGGTCCAAAGAGACCTAGGGTCTAAGACCGTTATTTCGATGAAGCACGTTTTGCCGTATGAAATGATATAGCCATAGGGCTGAGGGTATAAAAAGGCTGTCCCATTCCAGACCTCACTTTGTCTAAAAGTCTTTCCAAAGATACTTGGGGTCTAAAACCGTTATTTCGATGTTGCACGTTTTTGCCGTATGAAATGATATACACCCCCTCTAGCCATATGGCTGAGGGTATGAAAAGGCTGTCCCATTCCAGACCTCACTTTTTCCAAAAGTCTTTTCTTTGGTTATATTCAAAATTTTGATTAAGTTTAGGGCAGGTTTTTTGTTTTTTTTTTACTTATTATCTCCAAAACTTACCCTTGAAAACATTATCGTAATACCACATTGAACCCTTAACCCCAGCTAATCTTAAATCATGCAAAATCGCGTCAAAACAATTTTTGTGTTATTTCGATATTTATTTCAAAATTCCATATCAAACACTTTGCCACTTGCCATGCTATTATCAACTTTTAAAGGAAATGCAAACCACGATTATGGTTTTCAAAACAAAAAATTAGAAAAAAATATACAATTCCAAACAAATACACCACACAAAAAAAACCAACGAAATTTATTATATTTTTATCACATCTTGCAAATGTAGTTTATTTCAATTAAGAACAATTAAAGAATTTCATTTCAGTGGTCAACATCGCCACTGTGGACGTTGGATTTAAGGCATTCCTTAAGAATTGCGGTTTCTTGTTGGTTCATAGTGAACATCTGTGTGTGTGTGTGTTTGTGTGAGTAAATGACCCTCACATTGGGGCCCAATTGGGGAAAAGAGGGGAATGATATTTTTATTCCCTGAATGTGGGGCATATTGGAATAAAAACTATTTTGAAAAATAAAAAAAAATTAAAAATTGTTGAACAAACACTTAAAGCACGTTTCCCATTCCGACACTGCATTTGCCAATGCTATAATTGAATTTTTTTCTATATTTAATTTTTTATTTGTTTCTCCTTTTAATTGAATTGGAGGTCAATTGATTTGGAAAATTCGTAATAGTTTTCTTTTTGTTGTTGATGTTGGGTTTTTTGATGAGCAATGCTATTTGGAGAAAAAATTTTGAGTTAAGCCATAAGCTTTGGGATTTGGGAGTTATTCAGATGTAGCCGGAGATTCTATTCTAATAAAGGATCCATGCAAGGATCATCAAATCCCGAGATCCCCAGATCTTTCACTAGAAGTTCATTACATTCTCTTCTGAGAGAAGATCAAATCTTTTGAGAGAGGATCACAAGACCTTCTAAGAGAAGACCACCAGATCTTCTGATAAGAGATCATCACATTTTCTTTTTAGAGAAGATCAGCAGATCTTCTGACTGGAGATCCCCAGATTTTGCACTAGAAGACCACCAAATTGTCGTTTTAGAGAAGATCTCCAGATCTTTTAAGAGAAGATCACCAGATTTTCTAAGAGAAGATCTCCAGATCTTCTGAGAGAAGATCATGAGATCTCATGAGAGAGGATCACGAGATATCCTGAGAGAAGATCACTAGATATTCTGAGAGAAGATCACCAGACTTTTCACTAGAAGATCACCAGATCTTCTGATAGGAGATCCCCAGATTTTCCACTATACGTCACCAGATTATAAATTAGAGGACCACCAGAATATTTTTAGAGAAGATCACCAGATTTCCTTTTTAGAGAAGCTCACCAGATCTTCTGAGAGAAGATCACTAGATCTCCTGAGAGAAGATCATTAGATCTCCTGAGAGAAGATCACTAGATCTTCTGAGAGAAGATCACTACATCTTCTGAGAGAAGATCACCAGACTTTTCACTAGAAGATCACCAGATCTTCTGATAGGAGTTTCCCAGATTTTCCACTATAGGTCACCAGATTATAAATTAGAGGACCACCAGATTTTTTTTTAGAGAAGATCACCAGATTTCCTTTTTAGAGAAGATTCAAAGAGCAGATCACCAAATCTTCAAAGAGAAGATCATCAGATCTTCTATTAGGGCAACCCCAGATCTTGCACAAGAAGATTACCGGATTTTCTTCTAAGATAATATCGCCAGATCTTATGAGAAAATATCGCCTTATTGGAGATTTTTTTTGATTATAGAAGATTGCCAGATCATTTGATATGAGATCCCTAGATCTTGCACAAGTAGATTACCACATTACCACATCTTCTAAGAGAAGAACAACACATCTTCTGATGTGAGATCCCCAGATATTTTTTTTATAGAAGATCACTAGATAGAAATCTGATAGAAATCACCAGATCTTCAAATAAATCATCACCAGAAAATCAAATGTTTTTTTTTTTTAGAAAAGATCACCGAATGTTCTATGAAAAGATCACCAGAACCTATCACCATACAGGGTGGGATAAAATAAACTGCAACAAAATCAAAAGCAATAATTTTTTCATTTTTTTTTTAAATTTTATTGAATGAAAGCAAAAATGTCGGAGATAGCATCAAATTTTACAATAAGTTTATATTTGTTCGAATTGGTCACCTTTGGCACGAATTATGGTCTTCAAACGGCCAATGAAACCGTCACACGCTGCCCAAATGTTGCTCTGCGGTATTTTGGCCCATTCCCGGCGAAGCGCTTGCTTGAGGTGATCGACACTTTAGTATTTTTTAGTGCCAACTTTCAATGGCTTTACACCGTGCTCATTTTTCAATATTTGCCGATTGGAATATTGCGATATGTTCAGTTCACGAGGTATTTTTCGGCCACTGCGACGCGGGTTTCAATCAAGTCTCTTCTTTTCTTTTCGAAGCTTTTCTGCTGATGTTGCTGTTTTTTTTTCCATCCGTTCCGTTTTTGACTTCGGGCTACGCTACCAGTATCACGGCAACGAGCGATGTTACGAGACACAAAAGATTTATTCACATTTAAATGCTGGAGTGTTCTAACGATAGCCACTTGTGGTTTTCCAGCGGAAAATGTGGTTTTTTCTGGAAAATTCTCATACGCTGTGAAAACAATATAATGAGCTGTCACTGGAATAATTTCAACAGCTGTCAGGCGAGTGGCTTAAAAATGACAGCAGTGTGAAGTTGGTTGCAGTTTGTTTATCTCACCCTGTATATTCTATGAGAAATTCAATAGATCTTGAATAGAACTATCGACAGATAATTGTTGGACTAATCCAAAAACCTTCTGTGAAAAACTTTACCAGACTTTATTTTAGGAAAATATTGTTGACTTTTCGATATGACTTTTTAAAACATTTCCTAAATAAATACTTTACTGATCACTCACTCATTGATCCTTTCCGGCCTATCACTAATTTGCTATTTCTTTAAAATTTTGATAACCACAATAAGTAACCATTTAAACTTTGTTACCTTCACTCTTTATCGCTTGTCAGCAATTTCTTTCTAATCAGTCGGAATGTGTGTGT